ACGTTCCCGGTATGTTCGATTACTCGCTTACGATTATATACTTAATTTAATTCATGAGTTAATGAGATGTATGCATGTTTATGTATTCATAACAACTATATAATGGATAAGATATAGCTTGAATGTATTTCTAAATTTTAATCCAATTTTAAGTTAAGTAGTTATTTTTTAATTACATAACAAAACATTTCATGTAATAGTTAAATATTTAATATAATAGTTAAACATTAGTTGAGTATTAGACGTCCAAAATTGGTGAAGTGTTGAAAAATTTGAACAAAGTGAAGTGCATAAACAGATGGATCCGAATATCTTTGTGTTAAATCATGGGGTTTGACTTATAATGTTGTCCTATTTCGAATAACCCTCTTTGAAATCTATAACCATAATTGAAATCAAAACCAACCAAATGGTAAAAGTTATGGTTCAAATATAAAGTGAAATCAAGGATGATGACTTGACAACATGAGGTTTGAGTATTCCTCAAATCTGAAATAAAGTTGACTTTCACCATTTCATAATGGAGAAAGATGATAGTTTGGAAGAAGATGATGGATATATAAAAGTATGATGTAACTTTGAAATCTATAACCATGGTTGAAATCAAAACCAACCAATTAGTAAAAATATTTGTGCAAAACAAATGCAAATGATATTTTTTTCCCTTAACAAAAGTTATGATTATTGCAGTACTTAATACTTATAGTAACAAATGTAGTTTAAGTGTCTACTATATCACTTATATATACATATAATGAAAGTGTTGATTTAATGACGTACTTCTATCTGATGTTAGTATTCTCTAAATCATAATTTACGGTGTTGGATGACACGTTATAAATATAAATACGATCCCAAGTTTTCATACACATCGCACTTCCGCTCAGGTCAAAGCTTTTACGTTTTTTCTTAAATTGAGTTTTGATCACGGCGCAACGTGCGGTGTCGAACACTAGTATGTGTGTGTGTGTGTGTGTGTATATATATATCATAAGAGGACGGTTTTGTGAACCACCTCATTTCTCTCGTTTCTCTCTCTCTAAAAACTCTACTTTTTCTCTAAAAGTTCTCTCAATTTACTAAAGGAATCGAGATAACATCTATATACTCGGAATCCACTCTTCGAATCCTTCTTAAAGGTATAAGTTTCTTTCATTTTTATTAGGGTGTTTATGTTAGGGTATTTGAGATTAGTTTATAATTGTCTATGTGATTTATATATGAATTAATATTTACAATTTATGGTTAAATAAATGTTTAGGAATGATAAGATTGGCTAAAATGATGTAGAAAGAAAAAGGGAAAATTATGGATTCAAGATAGTTAGATTGGGTATATAAGATTAACTACACACTAAGTGTTCGGTTAAATGTCTAAAAGAGCAAAATTGTATGATCAAGCTTATGATTATAATCATTAAACTTCTTTGTGGTGTTTATATGTTATGGTATGTTTAGAACATTTAAATGTTGCAAATTATTGATGTTAGGATCATAAAAGTGAGTTGGGGAAAAATATGGAAATCGGAATTTTGGACAACTTCAAGTATAGTACTTTGACAGTGTATAACTCACAAACTGTAAGTTGGAATAAGCTCGTATTTTACAATTAGAAAGACTTTATTGTATACTACAACTTTCATGAGCGGTCGAAAAGCCATTTATGACTCTAAATGACTCAAAACAGTGTGTTTTCGGGGTTGTTTGCACTGTATTCAGGATTAATCTGCTGTTTTGTAAAATTCATATAAAGTCGATGGATGATCCAGATAAAATGATTCCAAAACTAATAGACTCGCATGATACCAAACTACAACTTTCATTTAGACAATATAATATGTATTGGTCTCTAAGTAGGATAAAAAAAATGCTTAAAAAGAAGAGGGATAGAAGCGGTTGGATCGAAAGAGCATAAGGCTAAGTTTTACGTTTGAGTTTTCAATTCGTGTCTGGCTGTCCTTCTTGAACCCTACGTTGTTTAAGTACATTAAGACATAAGTAGTTTTATTAGAATAATTATTTATGGTTTTTATGCCCTGCAAATAGTAACCCGTTTATGCATTCGTTAAGTAAGCGGACAAGTCAAACTTGATCGTGAATTTCATTTGATCGTGCATTAATTGTCAAATTCGGTTAAGGTACGGATTTCATACCTCACTTGACATGGGGATAGCCATTTGTATAAGGCTTCCTAATCCAAATACATTGGTTCCAAATTCTCATTGTGCTCATCAAATGCTATTGAGTTTTTGTTTTCTTTCGAAATATGATGTACATTCTTATTTAGAACATAGATCATTTTGATCACTTGACTTGTTAGATTGCATCATTTGTGAACCATTTTTCTATAGACTCAATATTGGGGGCACTAGTATTGAGATGTTTCCATGGGGGGCTAAAATGATCATGGCGTCCTCACTTATATAGTCCTTAAAGGTGGACTTGATTATGTACCGGTTGAATAGAGGGCGTATGGATCGATCCTAGACACCGTTATCGGA